AATATACTGACACTCTATAGGCTTCCTGAATTAGACCATTCTGGGCTAACAAAGCAACTGTCTTTTAAATTTTTTTTAAAAAAATTTAATTTAATTTTATTATTATTATTATTTTTACAAAGCTGTTAATGATTGGATTTCAGTTATACAGTATTCTAACACCCATCCCTTTACCAGTGTACTTTTCCCAGCATGTGCCCAGATTCCCTCCCACCCTCTGCTGCCTCCATCCCTCTGCTGCCTCCATGGCAGGCGTTCTCCTCCTCCTCCTCCTTCTCCTCCTTCTCCTCCTTCTCCTTCTCCTCCACCTCCTCCTCCTCCTCCTCCTCTTCCTCCTCCTCCTCCTCCTCCTCCTCCTTCTTCTTCTTCTTCTTCTTCTTCTTCTTCTTCTTCTTCTTCTTCTTCTTCTTCTTCTTCCTCTCTCTCTCTCCCTCTCATTTTGGGCACTGTGGTTTGAACTATTGATACTGAAACGTTATCCAGAATATCCCTTACCTACTTTTAACCCTCAGCTCTGTCCATCATGATAATTCCCATCTATTATTGTCATATATATCTCTTCTCTATCTTACCTACTCTCAGTCCCACACACAATGGTTAGTTCCAACCAGTCTTCCTAACCAGTCTTTTATTATTAATCAGTCTTTCTAACCCCTATTTTCCCTGGCTGTGGATATTCTTCTTCTACTATATGTCATTTTTAAATACCACAAATGAATGTGATCATTTTATGTTTATCCCTTTCCTTCTGACTCATTTCACTCAGCATGATACTCTTCATGTCCATCCATTTATAGTCAAATTTCATGACCTCATTTTTTTATGACAACTGCATAGTATTACATTGTTTAGATGTGTCATAGTTTCTTTTTTTATAATGTAGGAGTACTGCTATTTATTCAGGTTTTGATTAAGCTGATTGAATTGGGCATGTTACATTTTCTTTTTTAAATTCAGAATGTTTATTTTATTATCTGATTATTTTATAATTATTCCCCCCCTTTTTTGATTTAGTGTGATAAACAGTTACAAAGCTTTTATGTTTGAGCTTCGGTCATGAAATCATCAAACACTCATCCCTTCACCAGTGCACATTTTCCACCACCTAAATCCCCAGTATTCCTCCTCCCCTACCCCCGTTCCAACCCTTCCCCTGCCTATGTGGTAGACAGTTTTCCCCATCCTCTCTTTCTACTTTGATTACATTAGATATTTTGACACCAGTCTCACCACCACTCAAACTTGCTGAAAAGGCAATGCTAGACAATTTGTTTGGTGTTGCTTGCTATGGATAGAATATAATATCCAGGAAATTCTGTGTCTTTCTCTTCCAGGAGCTTTAGTTTATAGTCTTTGGATGTTGGCCATTGGTCAGATTACATGGCACAGGGGGAGATTTGTGGGTGTGACTGCCAAGCTACTGGAAAATTTGGGACCTGTGGGGAGGAGGCTCAGTCCCAATCCAAGCGGGCCTGGAGATTTTAGTTATGGGTTCCCACATACCTGGGTTTTCTGGCCGGTCAGCCCTCCAGTGAGGTTCATCCCGTCTTGAGTGAGGTTCATCCTCCCTTGGGAGAGGTTGTCTGAGCGTGTGGAAAGTGGTCTTGAACATGGCGGCAGTTGGGTTCTGGAGGTTTTCAGCTGCCGGGGCTATGCTTGGGGCAGGGAGGGCAACTCAACCTGCCCCCTTCGAGGTGCCCCAGTGAAGACAGCTTGGCATGGGGTCAGGGCATTCTGCGGTGCTCTCTTCTGGAAGCTTTAATTTAGAGTCTCTGGGTCTTGGCAGTTAATGAGATTGCACGGCATCAAGGGCAGTTTGTGGGTGTGACTGTTAAGCTACTGGAAAACTGGGGATGTGGGGGGAGGAGGCCCTGATCCCAGGCAGGCCTGGAGATCTCAGTCACAGGTTCTCACCTACCTCTGCGCTATAGGCCCTAACTGCATCTTTTGATCTCTTTTGAGATTTATGTCTTTGAAATAAGGCCAATAAGTGAGCTTATATAGCTGAGCTGGAGGTGGTTTGTGGATATGGTGCCCAAATATCTAATTTTTGGCTGTTTAATTTCTTGCTTAACCCAAGTTGTTGGGGTCTGGACAAAGGCACAGCAGCAATTTGGGGGTATCTGGAAATCTGAAGGCACCATCAGGCTGTTGATGCACTTGCCCTGCAGGTACAGGTTGACCTGCTGGCGGCATCACACCTCCTGTGTCATAGTTTCTTTATCCATTCATCTGTTCTCAGGCACTCAGGTTGTTTCCAGATTCTGACTCTGGTGAATAGTGCTGTAATGAACATAAGAGGAAGCAGCTGTCTTGAGGTTTACTGTCACTATTTTTTAATTGCTGTAGAGGAGACCTATTGTTCTCATCTACGGTGTACCCTCCTTATCAGAAAAATCAAATTTAATAGCTATGGGCAGTTTGTTACCATACTGGACTCTGAACCCCCATTGGTTTAATCCAGAGTGAACTTCCTTGTTGAATCTTCAGAAAGTAAGTGTGACTTCAGAGAAGACTGACAGCAAAAATGTGAGTGTCCGCAGTGTTGGGGGGGTAGTGAAGAGAATTTTAAGAGTAAATTAGGCTTGGTAGGCTGAGGCTCTGTTTGTGTGTGTGTGGGGGGGGTACTGTGTGTCTGCATGTGTGTGGGTACTGTGTGTCTGCTTGTGCGTGGGTACTGTGAGTCAGATAGTGTCAAAGATGGAAAGGCAGAGGGGCAGAAACTAGACCTGTGAGGACAACAAGCTGTTCTCTTTCCCTTAATTTCCCTCCATGTAGATCCCAGAAAACCAGGCCCGTACTTAGATTGATATACTATCTGAAAATACTATATACTACATACTACCGAAATATTAAGAGGTATTATAGAGTATGTATATTAATAAATAAAATATAATTTAAGATAGACCATTAGCACATTTGTACTGGTAGAAAAAAAATCAGATTTTCATCGTGGTCTCTTCTCTGTCCGTTATGACAATGATAGTTGAAAATTAACCCTCTGAACAAGAAATGAGTGCTGAAAGTAAGTAAAGGGATATACATGATAATCTTTCAGTACCTGTATTGCAAACCATTATGTGAAAAAGGAAAGAGGGAGAGAGAGCCGTAGAGGCAGATTGGGGAGTGGGGTGGAAGGAGGTAAAATCAGGAACATTGATGGTGAGAAACGCACACTTGTGGAGGAACTGGTATTGAAAAATTGCATGACACGCCCTACTGGGGTACTATGCAGGGATAGGTCTTATCTGCTATGCAGAGACAGATCTATCTGCTCTGGTGCCTGTTGCCATGCTCCACAAAGTTCTCCTAAGTTCCTGGGTTCCAGTCCTCTGGAATGTTTCCTAAGAGAACATTCTGGTGTGGAGAAAAGATAGGAAACTTCTCTGTCTCTAGGAGCTCTGATCTAAGACCAAACATCCTTTATCAAAGGATGTGACTGTTTTTGGCATAACGAATATGCCAATTCCTTTTCTATTCCCTCATATCACGGAGGCTGACACAAAGAATACTTGGTGAGTACTTCCAGTGATTTGTTGACTTTCATTATCAACATTGTGAGATCGCCACTTATTTCGTTGAATAACTGTCTTTCTGTTTGGGGTAGGGTATGAGTTTTCAATAAGCAAATTATAGCAGTAGAAACTTTTTCAGATCACCAAATTTACAAGTGTTGATATCAGTTACAAAGAATTAATTGGGAATAAAATATTCTTATGTGTATTACGGTGGGAATTGCTTTCACACCTGTCTGTACTCTCTCTCTCTCTCTCTGACTCTCATATTTGTGATGAGTTATGCTTGACTTTTTCTATCTCTCTCAGACTTGACTCAGGAAAACTTTTTTGTAGCGATGTGTTCTGTATCTAGATTTTCGTGCATTGTCAGCCACATGTGTGCAACACTTAAGCAATGGAATATGTGACCCCTGCCTACTCCTCCACCTTCCAGTAGGCAGGGGTCGCACCCACCAACTGGCCCCTCAGTGCCATGTAACCCCATCAACGGCCAAGATCCAGAGACTATAAAACCCAGCTCCTGGAAGCGCACGGCCGCAAATGCCACCTTATCTCATTCTTACTTTGGACAAACTGGCAGGCTACCGAATTTAACCTGCCCACACGGCAGAGTCTGGCAAACTCCCCATGGCGTACCCAATATGCCAAATACCAGTAACAATGATGGGTCTCATTCTCCTAAGCCTGAAAGAGCCTTGAATATGTCACTTTTTAAAAATCTCAGGGCTAGGACGAAGGAGACGTTACTGGGGCCTGCTCGAGGCAATCGACGAACAACAGATCTTCATGATCGCGATTGTGATACTTGACTTTTTCTATCTCCCTCAGACTTGACTCAGGAAAACTCTTTTGTAGCGATGTGTTCTGTATCTAGATTTTCGTGCATTGTCAGCCACATGCGTGCAACACTTAAGCAATGGAATATGTCCCGTTAGAATGAGAAAGTAATTTAAACATTTTAAATTTGATTAATCTATATGTTTAAATTACTTTCTCATTCTAATGGGACATATTCCATTGCTTAAGTGCTGCATGCATGTGGCTGACAATACACACCCTTAAGTGGGGCTGGAGCGATAGCACAGTGGTGAGGGCATTTGCTTTGCAGGCAGCTGACCCATGTTCGATTCCTCTATCCCTCTCAGAGAGTCTGTCAAGCTACTGAGAGTATCCCACCCTCATCGCAGAGCTTGGCAAGCTCCCGATGGCATATTTGATGTGCCAAAAACAGTAACAAGTCTCACAATGGAGAGGTTACTCGTCCCAGCTCGAGCAAATTGATGAACAATGGGACAACAGTGCTACAGACAGGTCCTTAAGTGACCACCTGTGATGCTACAACATTCCACAATACAGCTTGATTTTCTATATGTTTTAAATGTTATTCGTGATTTAGGTGAAGTATATTGCCATCTCCAGAGAAAATTTTACCTGGTTTATCTCTACCTCTAGATCTGGTATTGAAGTTTATTAGGAAAAACCATGGCCTCGGGCACATCCATCACGGCAATGAGGGAGGAAGCCACGTGCTCCATCTGCCTGGAGCTGATGACTGGGCCAGTGAGCATAGACTGTGGGCACACCTTCTGTTGCACCTGCATCATGCAATTTTTTGAGAACCAGAAACAGGAGTCATTATTACTGGGGACCTTCCAGTGTCCTGTATGTAGGGCATATTTTCAGCAGGAGAGCATCCGGCCAATAAAGCAGCTAGAAAACCTCATTGACACAATCAAGAAAGTGGAGCATGAAAGTTTGTGTGAGGAACATGGAGAAAAGCTCTGCCTGTTCTGTGAAGACGATAGTCAGTTCATCTGCTGGCGCTGTGAGCGGACAGCACAGCACCAAGGCCACACCACGGTCCTTATTGAAGAGGTAAGTCCAAGATCTGCTTCAAGGCAGATCTTCACCAAATAGCCAATAAAATTTTGCTCTCTGAATGGGATATACTTTAGGCTGAAAATCAGAATGAGGGTCATGAAGTATACCTTTCAGCGTTTAATCTTAGATAAACAATTCATGAGTCCCCGAGGCCTGTCCCTCTAATCATCAAAGGAGTAGTTACTCTCTTGTTTCCTGTTTTCCAACTGCTATGGCAAACTTTTTCATTAGATTACAAAATGATGAGCCCACACCAACATAATTTATCTTAAAGCTTTTTTTTTTAATTTTTGGGTCACACCCAACAATGCACAGGGTTTACTCCTGGCTCTGCACTCAGGAATTACCCCTGACAGTGCTCAGGGGACTATATGGGATGCTAGGAACCTAACCCAGGTCAGCCATGTGCAAGACAAATGCCCTACCCACTGTGCTATTGCTCCAGCCCCTTTATCTTAAATCTTGACTATACTTTGAAAAATGACAAAGTTCTTTTTTTGATAACTCCTGGCTCATGCACTCAGGAATCACTCCTGGTGATGCTTGGGGGACCAAATGGGATGCTGGGAATCGAACCCAGGCCAGCCTAATGCAAGACAAACACCCTATCTGCTGTGCTATCATTTCAGCCCCCCAAAATGACAAAGTTCTTGACCATTTACTAGAACCCTAAAACATAGGGGATGAAAAACATTCTCTTTAGTTCCTTTCTGAGTTAGCATGATGGACAAACCAGCATGCTGATGGCCTGGACTCCCTTGATTTGGGTTTGAGGAAAGTTAGCAAAAGGTGGAAGAATCTGGGAATTACTGAGAAGTGACACTTGGAAGACACATAAATAAAATACACGGTGAAATCATGGAGAAAAAGACAGAGCATTCCAGAAAGATGAATCCCCTGTGCAAATGCACTGACATTAGAACTTGCTGATGCATCAAGTGAAGGATTGATAATGGAATTCAGGCCTAAACTTTGATGTAATCTCAGTAGCCCAGAGAATTAATGGACATGGAGGATTTTCATCTGTGGAAAATTTGCTTATGTTGACATTAAACAGAGCATTCTTTTTGTGTTTTTTTTTATTAGTGAAACACCATGAGGTACAGTTGTAGATTTACAATTTTTTGTGCTTGGGTTTCGATTATACAATGATCAAATACCCATCCCTCCACCAGTGCCCATTTTCCGCCACCATGGATAATATCCCTCCCCCCCATTACCCCCATCCCACCCTGCCACTGTGGCAGAGCATTCCCTTCTGTTCTCTCTCTCCTTTTGGGTGTTGTGGTCTGCAAAAGAGGCATTGAGTGGCAAACAAAAACAGAGCATTCTTGAATTGTCTTAATACAAAGGAATAAATAGGTTGCTCCTATAAAAATAGAGTAGAAAGTCAGTTATCCAGGAGAGACAGCTAAATTATTTAAAAATAATTGAGTATGAAGTGGAGGAAGATGTTTTGTTTCCCAAAGTTTCATAAGTTCCCCAAATAAAAGCATAAAAGATGCCTTAGACAGAGTTTAAGGTCTGGCACAAGTGTTGGCTTTGCCTACAGGAAGCCTAAGTTTTATTACTAGTATCTCACATTCCTGAGCACCATCAAGAGTGAACTATTCATGTCGAGCCAGTAGTAGGCCCTGAGTACTGCCCTGAGTGGTCCCAAACAAAACAAATAAACAAGCAATAACTTTTTGAAAAACATGTAAGGAAGGCTGCCCTTGCTACAACTGAAGGAAGGAGTATGTCAACTACTTAATACCTCATCCTTCTCTGTTCTGTACAGAATTGAGGACTATATTTCCTCTGTCTGGGGCTCCATATTCCCTCCTCAAGAAGCTGAGGTGGTCTGTTATTTTATGGATTCTCTCAAAACTTTTCAACACTGACTAGCAACCACCAAATAGGCTGTTGCTCCCAAAACTCTAAGAAATAGTGAATAACTGTCTTGGAATATAATCCACTGCAAGTATCTTTTCATAAAAAAAGAAGATACAGCACAGTATAATGGTTTAGACATCAAGTCAGCTTGCGTAGGTTGAAAGTTATAGTTCTCTCATCTATTAACTGTGTAATTAAGAAGCAAATTTCTTTTTCATGTCTTTATCCCCCAATCTGTAAATTGGGTTATTGTCAACGCCTCTTCAGCATACACATATCCAGGATGTTGTCATAATCTTTAAGGATATTAATTCATGCAAAGCACTTGGCCTATAGCATAACAACACAATGTTTTGGTCAAAGTTGCACAGAGCCCTTTTGTGACAGTACTGGAGAATATAAGAGCATACTTAGATACTAATACTGGATCACTATATGCATTATATTGGGTTTATAGAGCATGATAACAATTCATTTCTAATGAGAAAATGAAAAATTGCTTCACCTTAAAATATTCTCCATGAAGAAAGGAGAAATTTTTTTTTGAAAAAATACTTAAAGAACTGAACTGTGAGGCTTGAGAGAGAGCAGAGTGAGGGAGATGCTTGTCTAGTACAGGTCCAATCCAGGTTCTATCACTGACACCCATGCAGTCCCCTGTGTACCACCAGAGCTGACCCTTCAGTGCAGCCAGGTGTGGCCCTCAAACCAAAATGAGCCACAACAACATTATTAGATGTAGCATTTATGCTCTTCCACCACTTCTATTTTTCTTGAAGTTGTCCTCCTAGAATTCTGCTGTGGTCTGGGTGTCACTCTGCCAATAATAGGTCCAGAGGTCTGATTCAACAGAAAGACCCACCAAATTATACTTGGTAATGTTCATGGCCCCAATATGCATCAGATGGTAATTAGGGGGCAATGTGGTTCTGTAACTCAAACTTAGGGACTCTTCACAAAAGGCATCAATATTCTAGATACCAAACACTGGCTTTCTGTTGACTCTAATAAATTTAATAGCATTAAACTACATTTCTTGACTGGTAATGCACACATTTCCAAATGTATCAAATATATGGTATTGGTCATTGGATTGAACACATTATTATATGAAATCTTCTTTTAAATGATTATCTTACTCCAGGTACAGTATTTCTCTGGAAAGAAAATAGTGGTGTAAATGTTTAGGCCACAGTCAGCAGATGAATCTCAGTTTTTAAAGACAGAAATGAAATTAATAATCTCACTAACTCTTCAGGATTGTTTAGACCAGGTTTTTTTTATTTCAGTTTGAATACTTTGAAAGTATAGGGAGTCCTATACTTAATAATAGTTTGTTTTTGGAAGACTTGACTTCTCTGTAAGATAATAATCAATCACGACCATCCTGTTATTCATCGATTGCCTCTAGCAAGTCCCAGTAACGTCTCCTTCGTCCTAGTCCTGAGATTTTTTAAAAGGTGCCATATTCAAGGCTCTTTCAGGGTTAGGAGAATGAGACCCATCATTATTACTGGTATTTGGCATATTGGGTACACCACGGGGAGTTTGCCAGAGTCTGCCGTATGGGCAGGTTACATTCAGTAGCCTGCCAGTTTGTCCAAAGTAGGAATGAGATAATAAGATGTCCGCTTCCGGGAGCTGGGTTTTATAGTCTCTGAGTCTTGGCTGTTGATGGGATTACACGGCGCCAGGGGACCAGTTGGTGGGTGTGACTCCTGCCTACTGGAATTTGAAGGATCTGGGTGGAGGATGCTCAGCTCTGATCCGAGCAGGCTTGGAGATCTCAGCTCTGGGACCCGCATGCCTTTGTTCCTCTGCCGGTACTTTCATGCGTGTGGAGAGTGGTCTCAGCATTCTGGTGGCTGGTTCTGGAGGTCTTCGGCTGCCGGAGCCTTGGTCAGGGTGGGGAGGGAAACTCAACCCGCTCCCCTCCAAGGGGCCCCAGGGAGGACAGCCAGGTGTGGGGGCAGGAGACTCTGATAATAATAATTATTGTCAAATTGATAGACTCCAGTAAAACAATTTTTCCTCCAGAAAATGTTCCAGGAAACTGTGACGAAACTGAGGGAAGTGAATGATGAATATAAGACATTGAAGCTGGACACAGAAGATCAAATAACAAAATGGAAAGTAAGAATTTGATTTTATTGTTTGAATATGTTCTACCTTAGAGCTTAGGCATATAGAAATAACATGAGAAATACATTGATGCTTTATCTTGCCTAATAGGAAGGGATTATTCCTTAAAAATTATATTACATAAAACAAAGTGATGTTTTAATATCATTAAACAAGATGAAATAATGAATCACAGATGATTTGTTTTTAGGCTTCTGGTTATCTTCATCTAACAGAATTTGCCTCCAATTCCTTTCACTGTTCAGCAGTAATTGTCTAGGATTCCTGATACCTCAGCCTGGTGCAGCCAAACAGTATTACTCCTTACCTACATTCAATCTTGACGGCGTTGCAAGTATCAAACATCTCAGTGTACTTTCCTATTTGAATCTTTAACCTACCACTTTGAGATATTTACCACAAAATAGAATTTGTCCTCAAGATTCCATTTTTGTAAACTAATCATTGTGAACACTAAGGACAGGATACTTCCAGAGGGATTTATATCCCTCAGCCTCATGGGACCCACAAAGGTAAGCAGAAATAGTGCAAGAACACATACCTGAAACTACAGACTATCAGTCTCAACTACTTATAGGGTTGCCCTCTTCTCAGGGGAGATACTCCGACCTTTGTGGAAACACTGAAGTAATCTGTTATGTTGTATTCAAATTTAACCCTTTTTTGGGGGTACTGGTTTTCATAAAAACCAGCATTAGCGGCCGCGCGACATCTTATTATGACATCTTATTATCTCATTCCTACTTTGGACAAACTGGCAGGCTACCGAATGTAGCCTGCCCACATGGCAGAGTCTGGCAAGCTCCCCATGGCGTACCCAATATGCCAAATACCAGTAACAATGATGGGTCTCATTATCCTAAAGAGCCTTGAATATAATCTCAGGGCTAGGGTGAAGGAGACGTTACTGGGGCCTGCTCGAGGCAATCGACGAATAACAGGATGGTCATGATTCGTGATTCGTGATTCGGGGGTACACATTGTCTTTTACAGGATTCTCTTCCAACTTCTTCCCTGATCTCTATGTGTGGATATTAAGATTGAACTTACAAAGGAAACATTTCCCTTATCTCAGGCACCTTGGACAGTGGGATGAAATGCTCTCTGTAACATGTGGAGAAATCCTGTTGATGTTAAAGTCAAATCTTTTGGTCTCCTATAAAATAAAGTTCTATTTTCTCCTAAAGCAAAAACCCCATGACCGACTTTTTAGTTTATAGACTCAGCTAGGTATCAGCACAAAGTTTTCTGACATTCATCTAGCAACAGAGAGTTTTCTACTCACTTCTGTGATATGCTCTTATTTCTAGAGTGTTCTAGAGCATAGGCGACAAAGGATCCAATCTGAATTTAAGAATCTCCATACATTTCTGCACGAGGAGGAGAAGTCTTATCTATGGAGACTAGAGGAAGAGAAAAAGAAAATCTCAACAGTGCTGGAGAACAGAGTAGCCACCCTAGAAAACAAGAGCCAGGAACTGCAGATGTGTATCCTGGAGCTGGAGAGGAATCGGAAGGGCTCAGCACATGAACTGCTGAAGGTGACGTGTGAACGTGCAGGAAAGAAGTGAATTTGTCTGCTTATAAGTTAGTAAGAAGGGAATGTGAGGCATAAAGTCTGATCATTAGTGACTGCTGTCTGTTGTCAACTGTGCACACTAGTGAGGGAAATTTATTTATTTATTTTGCTTTTGGGGGAGGTCACACCTGGTGATGCACAGGGGTTATTCCTGGCTCATGCACTCAGGGATTACTTCTGGCATTGCTCAGGGGACCATATAGGATGCTGGGAATCGAACCTGGGCCGGCCACGTGCAAGGCAAATGTCCTACCTGCTATGCTATCACTCCAGTCCCTAGTGTGGGGAATTTAAAGTGGTGCTTCTTGGGACCAGAGAGATAGTACAGTAGGCAGGGAATTTTACTTGCACACTTCCATCCCGTGTTTGATTTCCAGCATCCTTGAGTACTGCCAGGAGTGATTCCTCAGCTCAGAGCAAGGAGTAACCCTGAGCATAGCCAGGCGAGGTTTAAAAAATATACATGAATAAATAAATAAATAAATAAATAAAGTGATGCTCTTATACACGTCACCCACTATGTACCAAGTGACATTTATAGTTTACAGATGGTCTTTATGCAAATCTGAAAACAGAGAATACTGGGATAACTTTCACTAGAGTTTATTAAACTCTGGTCTCGCCTGCATGTAACTCTCACTGTCAGACTCTATCCTGAAGTGTATTTCACAGGACTAGTTGAGGATAAAGTTGGGCAGCAAAAATGATTGATAACCTTCCCCCTATTTAACTTTTTTGTGTATTTTCATATCTTTTTTCTAAGATATGTTAGGAGGCTTTCTTTTAGCTAGATTAAGGGTTTATACCCTTATAGAAATCACTTCCATTCATTTATTTTTAGCTTTTTGAGTTATACCTGACAATGCTCCGGGGTTAGTTTTTCCTGGCTCTGCACTCAGAATTACTCATGACAGTGGCGTGGGAACAATATGGGGTGCTGGGGATTGAACCTGGGTCGGCCAGTTCAAGGCAAACATCCTCCCCATTGTATTTTGGCTCCTGCCCATCCTTTGTACTCTTAAATCTAATTTCTGTAAGCACACTGGTAGTTCCACTGATGATTGAGAATGTAAAATGGTTTTTATACCTCTGTCCTATACCTCAGTCACCACTTCCATAAGTCAGTGTCAGGGCCTGGAATGGATTCTTCAAAGAGTATTTTTGCAATGAACAATAATATGGGATCCTCTGAGGAAGGGGGCCCTGGATTCAAACTTGTAGAGTGCACAAGGGCAAATTCCTGGTTTGTTTACCTAACTTGCCCACAACCTAATGTGATTGCTGCTCCTACAATTGCTCAGCTTCATTAAGGCAGAAAACATTCTGGGACTAAGTCAGATCGTTCGTATCCTAGAGCACTAAGAATCATTCCCCGGGAAACCATCATTATCTGAGTTGTACTTATTCTTTGGAAGCCTTGTTTATAGGGAATGATCCCATGAAATGCTATGTTTCATACCAACATCTATGTTTCTTTCTGTGTAGGATACGACAGACACCTTGAACATGTAAGTGCTCTATGAATTCAGGAGGGCCGGGAAGTGGAGTATAAGGTGTAATGGAATGTTCCACTGATGAAATCTCTGGACTCTTCTTATTCCAGGATGTCTGCCATGGCATTCAATACACCGAAGTCTTTCTATAGGAATGTTCGTACCATGTGCACTGTTTCTGAACTCTACTTTGATCCAAAGAAAATTTTAGAGCAATATCAAGGTATGTGACAACAAGAATTCCCTAAATGAATGATAGTTGGGAAAATTAGAAATAATGGTGGTGGGAAAGTGCAACGGTGGTGGAATTGGCATTGGAATATTGAATGTAATAAATCATCATGACAGTTCTATAAAATAAAAAAGAAAAGAAAAGAATTTCCCAGATGTTACAGGTGTGGGATGAGATATTAGGCAAATAAGTTTACTTGTGTTTCCTTTACAGGCTCATGGGCAGAATGTTTAGTTATTGTAATGTAATTTTCATACACTCCCTGTTAGAAACTCTAGTGTCTAAATAGAGTATTTGTTTTGTGTGCAAACTCTTTAAATGTTTGCTCTCCAGTTCATTACCATTATCTCAAAGGTAAATAATCTCTTTAGTGGTCCCATTTTAATATCAATATTACTATTAATTGAAATTTCATAAATATAAATGAAATCATCAACCTTTTTAAAGTGTATAGAATAGGGTCCAGGACATAATGATTATGTTTGCATTATATTCAACTTCCAAAGTAATGCTGAAAAGGTAGATTAGAATGAATTGCAATTCTAATTCCAATTCTATTAGGCATTAATTACAGAATACAATAAATGCCTAAACTTTCTTGAAATGCCAGCACTACCAGCTTCAGAACTCAGGCTTTCTGTCTCATGATTCTGTCATCCATTACTACACAATCACTTACTCACAAATGCAAAACTATATTACTAATCTGCTAACGCTCAACATTTCTGTTTATATTAACAGAGTATTATATACATGTGGATTAAAAACATTCCAACTGATATATTCTATTTCAAGTACATTTCTTCTAGGACCTCAAACATATCAACTTTTTCTTTTTTCTTTTTTTTTTTTTACTGTGAAAAACTGGTTTATTCTATAGGATTTTTTTAAAGTATCAAACACATTTCCCTTTACCAATACTTATTTTTAACCGTGAACCCCAATAGAACCCCACCTCCCACCCCTCCCAATTCCTGTGTGGCAGATGAGTTCTAGTTAATACTCTATCTACTTTGACTAGGTACATTGTTTCAATAGAAGATGCACAATTATTGTTTAGAGTTTATGACCCCCCCCCAATCAGATATGCTGAAACAGTGTTGTGAAATGATTTGCTTTCTACAGCCGGGTTCAAGAATAAAATGATGTCGCGCGGCCGCTATTGCGGCCGCGCGGTTTTGGATTTCTGCTGTTTTACTTATTAACCCTGGAAGTATTTCTATTAAAAGTTAGATAGTTAAGAGATTGGTTTCTGTGCTCTGGAGTCGTGGCCGTGCTGGAGAGCCGCTCATGGGGGGCAGCTGGTGACCTCGGTCGGGCGTGAAGGACGGCCCATTATGCCCCCCTTCCCATGAGGTCCCTGCCGCCCCCAGCCTTGGCTCAAACCTGCTGTCCACAAGGCTCCCGTGCGGCCACCATCTTTCTTTCCAGAGAGGAGCGGGCGAGTGGGTCAACACCCTTTCCCCTCCGGGCAGGCATGGTGGCGCGGTTTAACACATAGTCCATTTGCTTTTCTGCTCCAAGCGGGTGGCTCTCTGTGCTAAGTCCTTGTGCCTCCGGGGCCGTGGCCGTGCCAGAGAGCCGCTCGTGGGGGGCAGCTGGTGACCTCGGTTGGACGTGAAGGACGGCCCAGAACGCCCCCCTTCCCATGAGGCCCCTGCCGCCCCCCACCCCCGGCTCAAACCTGCTGTCCACAAGGCTTCCGTGCGGCTGCCATCTTTCTTTCATATCAACTTTTTCAAACAGGATTTAATGACTAAGGAATATGAAACTGCAAATATTACCATCTGATTATTTTAATCATACAGGGCTCCTATTGACTTAAATAAACAGAAGCTAAGGATAGGGAAGGGAGCTGGTTGATGTAACCACACAGGTCTTTTTTCTGGGAATAGAGTAAAGCAGGGAAGGATGGGGAGGGAAGACAAGAGAGATTCAAGCTAGGAAGTGTATCTTCACAATTGATTTTCCTGGGTGCTACTGTCTTATTATCTAATCATTATCAGTTATTAATTTGCTATTTCATTATTTATTCATTAATCAGTGTGATAATTTAAAATCAAGTACACAGTGGGTAAATAAGCTAGAACAATCACTTAGAAGATTTTATTGTTAAAATTGCACTCCATGTTAGTACCATTGACTTCATCATATTTTTGTCTCATTGACTGTTCTCACTTTTCCTTGTATACTGATCCTTAGAGTATTACTTTTATCCATCATGATGATGCATTATGAAGCAACAGAGTTTAAACTTAAAATTCATGACACTCGGCATATGGGCTGAGACTTAGGTAATATCCTTGGTATTTAATAACCAGTTATTAGCTATCTTCTCTCTTCCAATCCTAAGTATTGATTTTTCAGATAAATTGGGTGGTCTAGTTTTTTCTCCAATATTTCATAATCTATGAAGTACTTCATGACAGAGAAAGTTATTTGGAGAAGATAGAAGGAAAATGTTAACTAGGTTCTTCTGGACCCTGGCCTATTAGGGAAAATGACGATCAGGATGTTCATCTTGACAGAGTTGTAACAGTCTTTGTTGTCATAGTAGTATCAATACTATCCCTGCTCCAGTTGTGTTCAGTATATAAGACAGAATCACATAACAACTGTCTTGCCAAGCAATAGGCATACATTAGTTTACTCAATCCTCCACATTCTTCTTTATGAAAGTTATAATTTCGACTTGAATTTTCACAGAGACTGAGAAAATTACTCTAACTGCTGAAAGAAACAAATATTTTGTTTGAACACAGGTGGTTTTATTTAGAGTATGCTGTTTACCTAATGATATTTTTAGTCTATGCTGGCACAGACTAAACATATCATTTTCTGCTCTAGTTTCTAGTTTTTTAATTTACTTGTTTCCTTCTTTATTTTCAAAGCTATCATCACTCTGGATCAAGATACAGCTCACAGTGTCCTACATCTGTCTGAGGATGGGAAGAAAGTGTCTTATGGACCCCCCCAGAGGAAGCGTGAAACACCTTGGAGGTTTCAAGTCTTACCCTGTGTCCTGGGATGTCAGACCTTCACTTCAGGACGACATTACTTTGAAGTGTCCATACCAAAGGGACCTGAGTGGGATGTAGGAGTTTGTCTGGAAAATGTGCCAAGGGACAATGAAGTGACACTAGATTCCGAGAATGGATTCTGGGCCATTCGACTGTGCAAACAGAATGACTATGTCGCCCTTACCTCTCCCCTCACTCCGCTTTGTCTGAGGGAATTGGCTTGGTCTGTGGGGGTTTTCCTGGACTATGAAGCTGGACTTGTATCATTTTACAACATGTACAATGGTTCCCACATCTTCACCTTCCCAAAGGCCTCCTTCTCTGAGCCCCTCAGGCCCTATTTCCGTATTGGTAAAGGTTCTCATTTATATCTTCCTTCAGTTTAGTCAGAAAATTCAAATTCTGTCAGGACATAAATTTGGACTGTTCTCCTCACTGCTATTCTAGATGCACTTACGAAGATAATAAATTAAACTGCTTTGAATGAATGGATATAAAATTCTAAAGAATTTAACATTAATTAGGGATTTGAATGCAAGGAAAAGTTACAAGATGAGTGTAGGTTTTTTTATTTTGCACTGTGGTGGGTATGCTGCATAGAAGTAGCAACTCTTCTTTCTGCTGGCTGTTTGCTGATTATTAGTAATGGAGGCAAAAAACCATATTGAGGGAAAAAGAAATGTTACTTTTCTTTTAGAAGACTAGTACCTAGTTTTTCTTAGAAGTTTTGAGTCTTTAGTAGGTTCACGAAAGTAGGTAAACTTGTTTTCTGTCAATCTTATCCTTGGTTGATGAAGGTGGAGCTGGTTTTATACTGGAGTCCAAGCAGATACTCAACTAACTTCTACAGCATTTGAAACACTCAGAATAAATTGATAAGTTTTCTTCCACTAAAGCTTGTAAATTCAATGTAAATATCCAATAATACGTCAAAGTGGAAGGAACACCAGCACCCGGGGATTGGACCCAAGGAGGCCATGTGCAAGGCAAGTGCCCTACATGCTTTATTATCTCTCTAGCCACCCTCATTCTTCATTTTCAATCAACAATAAACTCATGGGAGACTTTCTAGAGCTCAGTTTTTTTTTAGGTGACTCTCTTCTGATTGTTCCCTCTCACTGCATCAGAGACAGATTGATTCACTAGTAGACTGGGATAAGTTCCACTCCTTGGACTGTTCTGGCTTAGAAGTTTTAGGAGGTACAACAGGAGCTGTAGTAGTGACTTTCCAGGGATAGCTGTAGTCTCTGCGGCATTAATAGATGCAGTTTACTGAGGTTAGATAATATGCTGACACCCACATATGGCTGTACCATGTGCAGCAACCCTCTCCTTTGCTGCATTTTGGCAACATGGCATCACGGCTCTTTCCCAGTGCTTTACTAAGCACCCTCTGCTGTCCTTGAGTCCAACCTGGTCATTTCAGGACACAGACAGGGATACAGGAAACTTCCCACACTGAGACTCTGTGAGCACTGATAACCAGGGCTGCTGTGGCTCTACCTGAGAATATTCACTGATGAGGCTTTAGTGGCTCTCGTGCAGTCCCGGAAGCTGCTGCTGCTGTTGCTACAGCATTGGGATCTGCAGAGTAAGACTGAGAAGCATCCTGAGACACAGAACAAACAGGAAAGCTGGATTTCTGGTCATTGGGAGCCCTGGTTATCTTATACCTTATTTTTCACCTTATTTCAGATGTGATTAAAATAAATCACAGGATAACAATGGGGAAAAATTTACATCAACCAGGGAGGCTCCTAACTCCTAGCAGACTCCGGAGCAAATGTAGAGAGATCTGAAGTGAAAGTCAGAATGCTAGCCCTTGGCGGTTTCCTGGGCTCATGGATCAGCTTCCTAAGGTTTTACTGTGCCACTTGGTTTGGGGGGTTTGGTAGTTGGTATGGTTGGTTGGTTTGGGGGCCACACCTCGAGATACTCAGAGGTTATTTCTGGCTTTGCACTAAGGACTCAGTACTGGCAGGCCATAACAGATCCCAGGGACCAAATACGGGACTATGGTTGCAAGGCAAATGCCCTATGAGCTCTATTATTGCTTCAGCCCCATCACTTGGTTTTATCGATTATGGGGAGTAAATGCATTACTCCTACAGAGTCCACGATCAATCAGAAGAAGGTGAATTGAAACATGTGACAATCAAGATTTTGAACCCCAGAGCAATTTCACCTTTCAGTTTAATCCAGTTCAAGTGAACTGCCTTGTGGACTCCTCAGTAAATAGAAGCTACTGAGGAGACTGACAACAAAAATGTGAGTTTGGGGGAGTAGAAAGTAAAAATGTAAGGTCAAGGTTTGCTCGGTGACCTAAAGCTTGCAGGTGTGTGTGTGTGTGTGTGTGTGTGTGTGTGTGTGTGTGTGAGAGAGAGAGAGAGAGAGAGAGAGACAGAGAGAGAGAGAGAGAGAGAGACAGAGAGAGACACAGAGAGAGACAGAGAGACAGAGAGAGACAGAGAGAGATAGAGACAGAGACAGAGAGAGACAGAGAGACAGACAGACAGGCAGACAGAGACAGAGATAAAAATAGACCCCCTAGAAGGCATGATTCACTCTAGCTCCTTCTTGGTAACCCTCCATCTAACACCAAGAAGGCACAACCTCTTCCCGTGATGTGAACATATTTTTTCTCTTTTTTTTTGCTTTTTGGGTCACACCCGGCGATGCACAGGGGTTACTCCTGGCTCTGCACTCAGGAGTTACTCCTGGTGGTGCTCAGGGGACCATATGGGATGCTGGGAATCGAACCTGGGTCAGCCGTATGCAAGGCAAACGCCCTACCCGCTGTGCTATTGCTCCAGCCCAGGGATATGAACATATTTTTGAAAATAATTTTTGAAATAATGATCTATAATATAATTTCTATATCTCTGGGCTATAATCTAGCATTTTAGAAAAGCTCCTCATGATGCTATTGTGTGTATAAATATGTTAAAAATAACTTAGTGTCTTTATAATTGCTGTTGTCAGCCCATAAATTAGTCATAAGAATAAGGCCTTTGCTGATATGCCAAGAGTAGCACACCACATTTGGTGGGTGTAATTAGAAGAAAAACATATTTGATAAAAATAACACATATACACTCATGTACATATATACATATACATGTATATATATACACATATATATTAAGACACAAGACTCAAACTCTTGCAACCTATTAATGGTCTCAAATTCAGGGACTTAATGGCTCCAAGATGAAATTCAACGCTTTTCTTTAAGGAAAGCTTTTTTGGATAATTTTTAGCTAATTATTTATAACAAGCAGTACAAAATAAAATATTTAGTGTCTGCTTTGTGGGCACAGGCTTGGGTGGTGGTGGTAAAACTCAAAATAAATGTGTTGGGAAAGTTTAATGTTGGTGGGATTGGTGTGGAAATATTGAACATGATCAATTATTGTGAACAACTCTTTGAAAATTAAAAAAAGAATAAGGCTTTTGTTCTCTGGGGCATATCATATATTATTATTCAAATTTTCACTTCTGTAATAATAAATGATGTTTATTTTTCCATATGTATTGGGAATTATGTTTTGAGAAATATTTACACGACGGTTCACCAATTTTTTTCATTTTTATAATTTTATTTATTGAATCACCATGAGAGCAGTTACAAAGCTTTCAGGTTTAAGTCTCAGTCATACAATGAAACACCCGTACCTTCACCAGTGCCGATTCTACACCTCCAAAAACTCCAGTATACCCCCATCCCACACCCTCCCCCTACCTGTGGGGCAGATGATTTCCACATTCCTCTCTCTCTACTTTGATTACATTCAATATTTTGACACCAGACCCACCATTATTATTTGGGATTTTACCCCAACACTCAGATTTGCTGAAAAGGCAGCAGTAGACAATTTATTTTCTATTATTGGTTATGAATAACATATGATGTCTTTTGGCTTCAGTAGAGGCCATACGATTTTGAAATTTTAAAATTTTAACAATTAAATCTGGAGGGATTTCTGACAAAACCAGCTAGGTTCTAATATTTGTTCCTGAGTCTCTTGTATCATGGCCGTTAAGCAGCTTGATCAGGAGCCAGAAAGACCAATCGTGGGCGGCGACTTGGGGTCTTGTTGGGACAGGGAGAAAGGGCCGGTTCCATCCCCATCCCATGAGGCCCCAGGTGTTTCATCACTGAGGGCCCAAACCTGACTGTCCAATAGCCTCTGAAGGATGGTGGCCACCAAGCTACCTAGGGGGAGCAGCTAAGGGACAGCACCCTTTTCCCCCTGGAATGGCCTGGTGACAGTAACCTACTGTGTCGTCTGGACGCATTTCTGCCAAAAGCCTCTGGGTTCCGAGATTTGTTTCTGAGTCTCTGGGATCATGGCCGTTAAGCAGCTTGATCAGAAGCCAGAGAGGCAGTTCATGGGCCATGACTTGGTGTCTTGATGGGACGGGGAGGAAAGGGTCAGCTCCTCCCTCATCTTCTGAGGCCCCTCCTGTCTCATCACTGCGGGCCCAAACCTGACTGTCCAGTGGCCTCTGGTGGATGGCGGCCACCAGGCTGCCAGGGGGAACCGGTCAAGGTATGAAATCTATTTCCACCTGGGGTGGCCCAGAGCCGCTAACCTACTGCAGGTACTGGACACATTTCTGAGAAAAGCCGTTGGGTTTTGAAATTTGTTTCTGAGTCTCTGGGATCATGGCTGTTAACAGTTCAATCAGGAACCAGAGAGGCCATGCCTCTAATTATATAGCTGAGCCGGAGGTGGTTTGTGGGTGTGTCTCCCACATACCTAACTTTTTTCCATTTACTTTCTTGGTAAACTTTGCCCCAAGTTTTTGGGGTCTGGTCAAAGGCACAGCAGCAATATTGGGGTATCTAGAAGTCTGAAGGCGCCATCAGGCTGCTGATGCACTTGCCTCACAGGTACAGATTGACCTGCTGGTGGCACCATACCCCCATGTTCACCTGTTTTTAAAAGCTATTTAGTCTTATATCTTTGAGAAGCAATTACACAGCAATTTGCTCAGTTTTTAAACCTGTTTAGTGAAGTGGTATATTACATTTATGATTTTCATATATAAAAAAATCCTTGTCTCATAGATGAGACCCACTTGGTACTAATGAATGACTTTTTTGACACGTGGTTAGTGGCTATTATCAAGATATTTTTGTTTGGTTTAACATAAGGTAATTTCATTATAAGGGAAGAGAAACAAAGGATAGCATGTTCAAAAGAGACTGTGAGCTTCTCCAGAAGAGCAAGAACCTTGAATGACTTTGGGAAGGGTCGTATGTGGATATTCTCCACAGTGCCTTGACTTGAAGCTCTATGCCCAAGTAAGCACTGTCTATTGTCAAAAGGGAAAAATTTTAAACCTCTGGTGGTTTCATTACATTGCCATTGCCTTTTTG